CCCCCCCCCTTCCTCCTCCTTCTGTGTTCTTTTTTCTCTTCCTAAGGTCACCGGTCGTCGCGCGATCATATGGCCGATGCGTTCCTCCCTCTGTCGATTCGTGACGATGGAGGAGGACCTGGTACCCTGCCGAGACCCGGATCGTCGTGTGGGACTCACCCAATCGGCCGACTTTTGAGTTGAGGGTGCGCTTCTTGTTGCGAAGCTGGTCCTGAGGTGGTGAGCAGCCTTGCTCAGATTGGCGATCTCATCCTGCTGCAGATCGTTAGTCGTGTGCGGATCAAGCTGCAAGCCGTTCTGTTCATTTCTGTTTTCATTCTTCCATTTTGTCACCCCCTTTAATAACTTTTTATAACAACGCAAGAATTCATTATTACTGAAAACCGGACCAGGTTCACTAATTTCCTAACTTAGTAACCTCTTTTCCCGTTTAGGGTTTAGGGTTTCCCGATAGTGCCGAGAAACAGCAGCATCGATCACTTCCATTCATGAATGCGACCAGGTTCAAGGGTGAGCAATGCTGAACCCAAGACAGCACCCCTGTTCTTTCTATCTTTTTTTCTTTCCTTCTTTCTTTTGTCTTTTTTTCTTTCCTTCTTTTTATCTTTTTTTATTTCCTAAAAGTCCAGGTGGTTGTAGAGGTTGGATGGTAGACGTGTGACGGGCACCTTCGGTAGTTGGCCATTTGTCTCGGAAAAAAAAAAAAAAAAAAAAAAAAAGGAGGTGGTTGGCCGTTTGGCTATCTGGATGGTCTGTAGAGGGGTCCCTATTTTCCTTATATGATGAGATAGCACCCCTGTTCTTCCCTCCGCACTCGACCAGCAGCTGCTCTGTGCTTCGGCTCAACTCACACAGCAGCCGCCGGCGAACAGCGAAACGCTAAAAGATCCTCGTACAACCGTCTTCATCGGAATAGACCACGTGGTCATTATTGCTGTAGCTAGATGGAAAGTTGGCCCAAATACAGACAACTATAATGACCAGGCGTTCTATTCGGTCGGGTCAAGTCGGTAGTTCAAGGGTCGGGCAGGAAGCTAAACTATTCCCCTCCCCCGTCCGACCCCTACCCCTACCCTCCCCCCCACCCCCCCCCCCCCCAAAAAAAAAAAAAAAGCATCTGGTATCGGGGCCATATATATGCATCCGGTCTGTATCTGGACTGGATGGTAGCCACAGTTCAGTACTAAGGATTACCCCAGCACAGTCAAGTGTGACATTAGCACATGGGGCTCATGGCTTCCAGGAGGGGAGCCCCATTACCTGTGTTAATGTCACCCTTACCTGTGCTGGGGTAATCCTTAGTACCGAGCCGTGGCTACCATCCAGTCGAGATACAGACCAGATGCATATGGCCCCGATACGAGACACGCGTATGACTGCCATTGTGGAGACACGCGTATGACTGCCATTGTGGAGCAGTTTTAGTTCCTTACCCCCCCCGCCCCCCCGCCCTCCTTCCTTCATGGCTAGCCAGAGGCTATAACTTAAGACTCAGCTTTCTTCTTACTCAGTCGGTTTAAAGTTTAGGGTTTAGGGTTTAGCGTTTAGGGGGGTGTTGTAATTGAGCATGCAGGGGTTGACAGTCTTACGTTATCGAGGGGCCATAGTAGAGGGGGGGGGTGTTGTAGTTGAGCATGCAGGGGTTGACAGTCTTACGCATTGAGAGTTCTGGGGCTGTCTCTTATACACATCTAGATGTGTACCTCAAGTATCTGCTATACTGGACCAAACCTG